TCGGCCTGTAGCAATGGAGCCAGATTTTCGTGATGAACTGTTTCGCTAGCATCTTCTCTCCTCTTAAGGCAGAGGTGACTGGCTTTGAAGAAACGTCGGAAGTATTGTAGTTCGGCAATCCTGTCTTCCGGCTCACTGCAGTGCGTTTCGACACGCCGATAGAGCGTCCTTACGCAACTGTTTTTGTGGCTGATTGGGTGGTTGCTTTTGAAGTTCAGTACTTTCATCGTATTTGTCGCATTCCTGAGCACTTTGGTCTTTAGTCCACCACAATACTTGCGGCATGCGAGGACATACAGGAAGGCCAGCTGGCTGTTCTCTTCCTCCTCCATCGTAAATTGTATGTCCGGGAAGACCGAATTCAGACGTTCTTTGAATGTCAGCAGTTGATCCCGGTCGATAACCACGAAGGTATCATCCACATACCGGGCGCAGAACTTCGGTTTGTGGTGTTGGAAGACCAGCGACTCTAACCGTTGCAGGACCGCCTCGGCGATGAATCCCGAAATCGGCGAACCCATTGATGTGCCCTTCACCTGTTCGTAGATTGTCCCGTTGAAGGTGAAGTACGTCCTGAGACAGAGCTTCAGGAGCTTTTGATTTTACATCCCTTTTTACTTCTATTCCCCGGGACCTGACGATTGAGACAATCGAGGGGCTACTACAAAGCAAATATGATGAAACGGAGAATCGTCTTGGACACGTTCAAATCCTTCTGCTCCTGAAGCTCTGTCTCAGGACGTACTTCACGATCGACGGGACAATCGACGAGCAGGTGACCTTAAGCTACTGGTAACATTGTTTTCAACGCTGCACTCCCCTACTTATAAATGGGCTAAGGCCAGCCTCCAGTTGATGCAATCTTGACTTGCAGCCTTTAAAATTTCCAAATTTGTACTTCTGCACAATTTCCAAGTCCTCCTAGAAACTCCCATCAGGCAAACATACCTATCTCGGTTGGTAAAAGCGATTTCCAGAAAGCAGTCGTGAAAAAGTAAACACGGTCCCTGAAACAAGGGCTTTATTAGCCAGACGTTTCAGACTCACGTCCGAACCCATCATCAGAGACGGACACATGGGCAGTTGGCCGTCCTTTTCTCATTTTGTTACTAATGGCGGATTTCAGCGTAAATCCGAAACTCCGGACAAATAAAGCTCCCGTTTCAGCAATCATGCATGTCCTTGTTGGATGACTTGACGTGGTTGCTCGTGTTCTTGCTGGATTGTCTCATGCCTTTGTCCTTTGTAGTGCCATATTCAGTGTTCTCTCTGGGCTTGAAGGCCTCCATATTTATTACAATCCTGCATAAACACACTGAAAATGACTAAAATACTCAAATACATAGAGCTGTTCTCTTTTCTGGTTTTTGGTTTTCAGACGGATGCTGATGGATTCTTGAGCATCCTCCCAGTTCAGGAGGAAAGCAGACAAGTGAATTATTAGCTGCCAGACTAGCTGGACGACCCCGGAGGAAGGACACTCCGGAGTTAGGAGAGGCGCGATTTCGCGGCCAAGAATCTGGCAACCAGCTTCGTTGGGGCTTCCACCCCCCCCCCCACCAGTGCTTACTGATGCGCAGTGAGTTTTAAGGGCGCAGAACTGCCCCATTCTACTTACACACACAGACCGGAGGCAACCATCAGGCATCAGTTAGTGAAACCGAAAGATCCACTGCCACGGCAAGAAACGTCTGGAGTCGTTTATCGGATCTGGTGCAGTTGCGGACAAAGCAACTACTTCGCAGAAACCGGAAGACAACTCCAAACACGAATGGCCGAACACGCTGCAGAGGTGCGAAGAAATGTCGCCAGCTCCCAAGTTGCGGCTCATTCGACGAGACCCGGTCACACATTTAAATTCGATGAGGCCGAAATTCTCGCAAGAGGTGACAACCGAGTGAGCCGAGAGCTACTTGAATCATGGTTTACTGGCCCCCAGTCCATCAACAAGTGCAATGATCTTCCCATTCAATACACCGCGCTGAGACTTCGTCTAGGCGGAGTAATTGGTCACGCGGGGAGCGCACATGTGAACACTCGTCCCAACACCCGGGTCAGCGCGTCAGATGGTCGAGGAATCATCACACCAACATCCAACGCACGTGATGAAATTGCAGCAATTAACGACGCGAATGTCGGCCATCACGCCACGTGCAACGATCCCTTATGAAGGGGAGGGAGCCGTGAATATTCATAGGTATACGGTAGCATGGCTACTGCATCCTATAAATACCGCAGCCCCTTGTGCATCAACCACCCGTTTCTGCTTTTTTGTCTCTGATGATGGATTCGAGTAGGAATCCGAAACGTCAGGCTAATAAAGCTCTTGTCCCAGCGATCGTGTCTTTTTCTTCAAGGCTGCTTCCTGGGACTCGTCTCTTCGCTTCTATTGGCAATTTCTCTTCCGCTTTCTATAAGGACAAGCGGAGAAAACAGTCCACTGAAAAGTCCGATCTTGGTCAACGTTGTATGCGTCTAGGAGGTCTGGGGAGTCATCAATTGCCAAACGATGTCACTGATGAGGATGAGAAACCCCCCGTCATGACGCACCCGGCAGCTTGGGATGAAGTCACGGTGCATTTGCCTGTAATTGAGAGGAAAGAACGCATTGTAACTACATCTCATATTCAGTCCTCCAATTCTGTTTGGTTTAAACAAGTAATCATAGGACTAGTGCTCAGATGAGCACTGTCATCGAGACCCTTAGGGAACAGTCCAGTTGCCGAGACATTATCACACTAACTGCCGAGACCACCGGTTAAATTTGACCGTTGATGATGAGGACGTGACTGAACGAGCCATTATCGGCCCCGTTACAAAAACTGGCAATGAACGTGGGAGCTAATTCTTTCTGTATCCTGGTAATATCCCGGCAACAATATCCCATAAATAACACGGCCTATTTACAGCCATTGCTCCTGCCCGTTATTACATCTAGTTGTTGCTTCGAACAGGAATCAGAAATGTCAGGCAAACAATGACGCAGTCATGGTGATCGAATCACACCTCTAACCCAGTTGAATTCATTCGCACCCAGCCTTCGATGTGGCCGTCAACACTGCCCGCCGTGCTGCAAACCTGCGGAAAGCCGACAAAAATATTAAGCAAATTAGCTAAACAGTCCCGGTAAGTCACTTAGCCATACTTTGTCTAATTTGCCAGAAGACAATATAAACAGCGGGTACGCACACGCAGAGATGCCAGTAGTTTAATGTGGAACTGTTTCGGGCTTATTCTAATCTCGTTCAGCCAAAAATGTGCTACTAGCTGTGCGGAAATATAATTATTTGCACAGAGGCAATGCGAATGATTGCTACGACAAAGGATAATATACCCTGCTGAAGCTAAGAGGCTCTCCTGGCGAAAGTGCCCAGTACTTTGACCTGCAGGACAGTCATATCCAACCAGCATACTCACCTTCTTTTGAGCGACTGTCCTTTTTTCTCTTTAAAAAGTCATTGAATCTTGTTTGTTTTGCCCCTTTCAAAACATGAAGGAGTTTTTTCACTGTTCGCTAGCCATTTCCAATATCAGATTGCCTATTTGCAAGCACGAACTGAACACTTTGCAATGTTTGCCTACTAGCTCTAAAATTCGCCTGAAAATGCATTATTACTTACCGTGAAAGTATGCTTGTGGGTATTTTATAGAACTATTTATTTATGGGAGTTCTGCGTCATCTACAAAAGATGTCGCTTATGTTTCAGTTACTAAAACAATTGCTAGACAGCGATCGAACACCAGAGTCTGAAGTAAGGCCAGCTTATTTAACAAGAATCTTGGATTTGGAACGAAAAGATAAAGTGATCAAAGTGTTTATTTCTGGAGGAGGAAGAGGAGGAGGAGGAGGACGAGGAGGACGAGGAGGACGAGGAGGACGAGGAGGACGAGGAGGAGGAGGAGGAGGAGGAGGAGGAGGAGGAGGAAAGCCATACCATCCAACGGTTGACCGTCCACGGAATATAGGGGATCGGATGCTTCTCTCGGCTTCCATAAAAAGTTTTGTGGCATGGAAAGCTCTCGAGGTGGGTAAAGAAGAGTAGGATATGGGGGTGGAAATGACGGGCAAGTAAATTGACCACTATCGCTTGCCAGCGGGGTTCCTACGAAAAACCCATAGGTAGGGTCCTGCCGAGGAAACATTTAATACTAATAATGATAACTTTTATTAAAGACCCGTCGGAGTCCCATCAAAGAGTGAGTTTACCGACCCAGGATAAATATTTTCATTAGGGTTTCACAGGAGATACGACTGTGGAGGGGACATGTTGAAAGAGGGCGCCGCCTCTCCTACGCGGAATATTGACACACTTGGGTTAACCGCATCGATATGATGTTTAGGAGATAGTTGAAAATGCGACGTGTTTGATTATTTTTGTAATGAGAGACAGATGATGATGGATTCTGCGAATTTTTGAAAAACCCAGCATCTTAATCGGTTGCCGGATTTTAATGGACTGAAGCCCAGGTCAGCAAGGAAACCCTAGCCTATGTACGAGGAGTGGGATTGAGGAGATGAGGCCACTTGCGGGCTGTATGAGGCATTATATTTCGTTGGTATTCCTACGACTACTAATGTCATTTTCTGCTCCTGTTCTGTAGAAGGTACAAAAGGTGCCTATGGGAAAAAAATTTAGGTCTTGTTGAAGTAATTAAGGAATTTGGTCATGTAAGCCAACATCAAGATGAGTGTCTTTTTAGGGTATTGTCTACTATTAAAAAGTCGGGTGTTCATACAAGTGTCGTGTGAGATCCGTGAACATTGAAATTTTTCTGTCCATTGGAAATATACGTACATCACCGCTCCAATAAAACAATTGTGGATATCAACGGAAAAGAAGTAACAGCTATAATGGTCACGTTGAGTGTGATTTCTTATGTTCAGCAGAAAGGATGATAGAATCGCTGTAAGATCCATCAGACTAAGGCGCAACGATAGCTTAATACCGATCTAAAATGCTAATTCTGTCAGACTCTTGAAGAGCACGACTTACAGGAATTTCGTACGCTAAGTCTGTGTCCCAATAAGTTAGTTGAATGAAGTGAATCTAACGTAACTGTCATGGTGCAGGCCTAGACACAAGCTTTGGGGATGTAATTTAATGGATAATGAACGAAGTTGAACTCGTTAAACAAGAAAAATTGCCGGAGAATTCGAAACTATGAACAGCCCTAATAGCAAGCGAGCTCGCCGCGAGCTAGGGTACTCTAGGGGGTTAGTGGCTCTTTAGCCAGCTCGCGATTTGATTGGTTCTTGGGTCGGCTGCGCCGGCGTCGCGAAGGGCGTAAGCGGCCGCGCATACTTGCACTTGATTATCGATTAGCTTCGGCGCCCGATAGTCCTGCTGCTCTCGCCGGTGCCACCTTTTGTTTTCTCACGCTGCAGTGCGCACGCCGTGTCTCGCTCAACGCTGACATTGCCAACCCTACCTGTCTTTGTCTTTGTGTTCTCTGTTGTCCCCTTTTACTCACAATTATGTTTACTCCTGTTAGTATGCGTAAAATACGGCGTCAAGCACGTATTTGCCTAGGCAGATACAATTTGTTTGCCGTTTCGAAAACCACTGCTCCCGACACAGGTTTTGCTGTGTCTCGCAGAACGGGACTGCGGCAAAACTTCGGCGTAGATAAGAGCGAATAACCAGTATCTGAGCTCCGCTCATTACCAGGCGGACAGAAGAGGATAATAAAATTCAGATGAAAACAATAACGGATTGCTTTCCAGCAAATTAAAACGTCCAGAATCAATGACACTTGGTCGCAGTGCAAGACTCACCCCAAGGAAGGTTGCGGCTGTTATGCACGTGTGTGTAATTTTAATGCAGCCTAGTTGCAACTGCTGATCAGATACTGTCAGATCTTTTCTGATAACGCAAATGCTATCCCGAATAAGTTACGCAGAGGCGCGAAATCCCTCAAAAGTATTCTTTGTTTAAACGAAATATCCCCCCCCCCTTCTGCATTCAAAATAGCTTGCACAATTTCGTGTGGCGAGTACACCAAGTTAACCCTTCGTGGTGATGACATTTTTGGTCCTTATTTGCTCTGTTTGGCCTCATCTAAAGAGGAATGATGCTGGTTCAGTAGTCGGTCATCTAGCATGTTAGTTCTCCAGCAGGTGACCGGCAGCTGTTAGCCCAAGCAACCTGGTCTAGTATGAAGCTCCAATCCCGTGAAAAAAAATTGGAGACTGCAAAACACTGCTGTACTCTGGTCATTTATTCCTGCTCTGGGTTGCCTTCATTTCCCTAGCAGCAGTTTTTCTCCTAAATGACTTCAATGATCCAAACTGCACTTAATTCTGCCCCGATAAGGGAGTTTTTTATGCTCACTCGATCCATATTGTATATTTATCCTGATAATACTGTAAAACGTCACGTTAAGTCATGTTGTTAAGGGAATAAATATTTCACCCTTGAGCGCCCTTTTGATGTCCGAAAATAGCGATAGAATCCATTTTTTCAGCACAAATCCTAAAAATTTTAAATCAATCGGTATGTGTGGGCCAGTCGCAAACTGCAGCCACCGACAGTAAATGAGCATCTAGTTTGTATTTACATGTTTCAACAGTTTCCGATAGGACAGCGACGCCAGGGGATCCGTTTCAGGCCCGTTGACCTCTGCGAGAAGGCGTTCCATCGTCCGTCCGTAGTAATTAACTGTCGCTTCAGATTAAAGGAATTACCATGCAGACTGTCAATCCAAGTTAATTCGAAAAATTCAAGGGCATACGCATGGCCCCTGACAACCCGGCAGCTTGGGATGAAGTCACGGCGCATTTGCCTGTAATTGAGAGGAAAGAAACAAAGTTCAATCAGGCTGACTTTGTAGGGAGGATGATCCAGAATCTTAAACGTCTTCTTAGTCATCGCCTGCGCCCCTCCAAGCTGTTGATAATCCTTTTTAGATCCCGGACGCCAAGCTGGAACAGCATGCTGCAAATGAGATCAACCAGATGTCCCTTAAGTTTTTCAAAACAATCCCTTGCCTGTCTGCACAAATCCTCGCCATAGCGCAGATTAAACCGATGTCGCGTTTTTAGCTGCTTTCGGACAATTTAGAGATGGCTTAAGCGATGGGACTATTAGAAAACCGAGGTCCTTCTGTTCCTCAAAACTTGATAGGGGTTGCCCATCAAGGAGAAATTATCATCCCCACTGAGTCTTCTGGTACGGAGCCTAGAGCAACGCACTTACCAACGCCAAAGTCCAAGAGCCAACGAGCAGACTAACTGCCCAGCCGGTTGAGGCTCTCTGAAGTGCGTGCCTGTTTGCGTCAAATCTGATGACTTTTCACAGTTTAACATCGTCTGTAAATATAAGGACTCTGCGAGCCAGGTTTTTGACACGGCCGTTATTAAAGGAGACGAAGAGACGACCCTATGACCGAGTCCTGAGGGACATCACTTAGAACGAGGATAGGGTTTGGCTTCGAGCAATCAACGTACATGGCTTGCGATCTCGCCGAAAGAATACCTGCGATCCGTGTCAGCAAGATTTATCTTATTCCTATTTCAGACAGTTTTTAGAGTAGGCGTTTCTGAGGGGCACTGTTGGACGCCTCTTAGAAATTCGTGTACTTGACTTCAATCTGAACATCGTCGTCTAGCACGAGAATTCACTGCTCGCTTGAGAGCAATAAGCTGACAAGACAAGATCGTTTCCAGCAACTTTGATTCTTTGATATTGCACCGGTCTAATTCCACGGAAAATGCCAGGAAAAATATATGTCTGAGTGCGGCAACGGCGTTTGCAAAGCCTCATAATAGTGCCCCTTTAAGTGCTTAATAGAACAATTTATCTATTTGCTGACAGTGTGATTTGAGACTTATTTGTTGTAGTGAGTGCCAAGGCGAAGAACCAGCCCAAGAGTTTGGACTTTCCGCCTATTTCAACAACTCCTACACCATTAGTATCGTCCATTACTTCGATTAGGTCCTTGTTCTTTAGTCGACTACTAATTTAGTCGAATAAAATCATGGGGGCTCTCCAGCCTGCCAGATACCTTTGGATTCATAGCCCTTCGTTGCCTGACGGATGCATTTTTGAATGCACTTTATTGATGAAGAAACTCCTCTAGCTGTACTGTGACTCAGTGTCAACGAATATCTTCCATTTTTTATCTTCCTCCCTTAAATGTCTGTTAAGGCCTCTTGTTAACTGGGCAGAGCAACGAATCGTTTTCTGTACCCTCATTGGACAACGTCGCCGAATCAGATCGAAGGAAATTGTCTTGAGCGATCTCCACCCGCCCTTTGGATCCTCTTGTGCACAGTCCCAATTCGCGGACATCAATTTGCTCTTCACCTTGTTAAAATCTGCATTTCATGTATTTCACTGGCCTCTCGTTCTGTTCGGGTGCTCAGAGAAGATCGAGTAATCCCGCAGTAGCGTTGTATGGTCACTATTACCAAGAGATGCACGGGAATACATTTTATCAATGTTAGAGAAGTTCTTCGTAAAAACCAGTTCTGAGAAATTGGCCCTTTGGTTCTCCAAATTTCGTTGGTGCATTTACATGCCCTTCCAGATGGTGGTCGGACGTGGTCCACTAACTTACGGCTGAACGAAGTTGGCGCACCATCAGCTGCTAGACTTTCACACTCTGCTGCAGGTGCATCGAAATCGCCAGCAATTTAGAACCTCTTGGTGGTTAGCTACTTCCTTAGTCAAATGAAAGAATGACCTGTCAGTTGCACACACGGAATATTTGGTGGCCTGTAAATCATCAGGAGTTTTACGTTTTGTGCACTACTGTTTGTTATGTTTACGCATGCGGATTCATATTCAACGGAGGTTTTGGTCCCGTCCAGCTATCGAAATTCCTGTCCTTACATATACGACTAAATCACCGTCCTGTCTATTTTGACGTTCTCTGTAAAATAGGCAGTATCTTTACATCAAAATCTCGGCATCCGCGATTTCGGCTCTGAGCCGTGTTCCCGTTGTGACAACGGCGTTGGAGTTCTGTTTTCAAGCTTCAGCCTTGACTTCATCGAATTTCGAAACGATTCTTTGGACATAATTGTGCCAAAAATCTCAATTTTGCTTGAGTAACTCCAGTATACAGCCGTCCGTTCATCTAGCGAGATTGAAGGCGAAAATCTGCTGGTGCTGACTGAGATGGACTGGTGCCCATCACGCCAGGGCTCTTAGAGTTGTTGACTTTTTCCAGAGAACTGACCTCCGCATATGTATAACTCTCCCGTTCGGCATTTTGGGATATTCTTCGCCCAGGCTGGACGTCCCGATGAGTTCCGCCTTGGGCCCTATCCGCGGGCGGAAACTGCCCGCTGAACACTTGTTCGTTATTCTGAAATTAATTCAATGCCGTTTAGTATAATTATCATACATTTGATGCTCTTGTCTGTATATCCTAAAGTCTGCAGCCTATAAGGTGGCGGAAATAGCAGTCTTCTAAACATGATGGTTCAACTCAGGCCTTCTGCTGGTAGGTTAAAATCTTCTCGAAAAGAAAGAACAAGCTATGGAAAAATCGCCGCTAGACCTATACTAGTTGGATTGCATGATTAGGAAACCTGTTAACGTACGTATGCGCATTATGTATTCGAATATTCCAGCCCTTGGGACGACAGACATCCTAATGCAAATAAACAGTGAATGTTTAATGGTTCCATCCATGATGAAAATGTTCTTAGTACTGCATGCATCGCAACGGTAGGTGCGTGGATTCAACATGCTTACATGATGCAGATGGACGGCAGCTACCCTGAAAACTGCCAAGCTCATTTGTTGGTAAATATGAAGCATCGCTGAAAACACACTAGGAGTCGCACGGAATTTTAAGAAATCATTATAGACAAGGTTCTTTATAGGCAAGGATGCGACGGTGATGAACGCTCTTCCTGTATTGTAGGCATCCACGAGCAAATATGATTCAGTTTTATTGCGAGTAGGTAACTGACTTGATTGTTTTTAGTCAGGCTAACTGCGAGAGGACATAGTTTTCGCACTTCTAAGTTCGCGATGTAGCGCACTAAACTATTTTCCGGCGTTACGGCCCTATATCCGGATAAAAATGAGACTACGTGGGTGTCTATGAGTCCATCATATCACAACATGGGCTGCTATCTACAATAACGACATGGTGAATAAGATGCGAAATTCTTATCGCATATTCGGACAAGACCGCAACTGTTGCATGCGTCTTACACACTACATAAACTGTTTGCTGCAATTTTTCATTCCTAAGGATGCCGAAAGTGAAGACTTAGTGGCCAATGAACACTGATGCGCCTTGTTTAATTTCCGAGGAAATTAATGCGCGAACTTGGAGTAAATCTTTCGAAACGGGCCTTTTTAGGCACGCTCCAAATTCTGATACGAATATTTGAGCTGAAATCCATCAGCGACTGCGGAATAACCGCTTAATATTCACAAACCGCCAACAGGCAGCCAGTAGTATAGATCTGTACAATGATTTACCGTACTAGCAACACAGGTATTAGCTAAAAACCCAGACACGCGTGTTTCGCCGATCTTATGCCGCTGCCTGACGCAGCTGCGAGGGGTTCGGCTCGTCACTGATGTCGGAGGCGTTTTAATGATCTCTTAGACATATTGCAGCAATATGCTAGAAGCTGGCATTAAATTTGTCAGAGACCTTACTTCATTACCTTTACGTCAACTAGGCGATCGAGTTTATCAATGAATGAGTGGTTCTGAGTTTATAGGTGCTGTGTGTTCACAACCTAAATCGCGCACCCACTAAAAAAGATGACGTTTAGCTTTCTTTGAGGAACTGTATTTGCCTGATCACCGCAGAGTCGCGAGAAGCCCTGTGGTTGTTAGCAATCCCCAACCATGGACAGTGACGAATTTTCAGGCTCCGTGGCTCTAAAGGACATATTAGGCCCGTTAACTTTGGCGTACAAGTAAAGCGAGGCAATAAAACGCATGATAAAATCAAGAACTGTAGATGCAGCCCGTCGAAGCAAATAATTTGCTAGGTTGACGCCTTTGACAGTGAAAGCATAAGTGGCTCCCAATAACAGCCGCCATTCTGCTCTTCATAGGCAGGAGAGGACGAAATGAAAGTTTGCGAGAGATCGATTGTTACGTGAGAGAATGACTTGCTGTGTGCGCACATTTGAAGGGGGGGGGGGGAAGAAATGACCGATATTTTCTTTACACGATGGCAAGTTCATCCTTGACATTTACAACCGCGGCCGACCTCCTCTCGAACCACCTACAACAATTCGGCCTGAACGTACTAGTCGTTCTTATAACATACAATTTTGTGGAGCAAGAACACCGACTTCTCGTCACTCTGAAATCTGTAAGCATAATGCATACTCGCTGCCCGCAGTCTACAAGACCAAAAAGACTGGCCGTAGGCGATGGTCCGTCTTAAGCTCTGCGATACATGGCAGTGCATATTGGGTCCTTATCCACATGAAAGGCCGCACAATTCCTGCACCATTTGTAAAATAAGCATATCTCTTTGACACCTTTCGCAAGGTCTCCATCACCTCCTTTTGAATAGATAGCATGGCAGAGCAATACCAAACGGTTTCCCAGTATAAACATAGTAGCAAGTTTGATGGCATGATTGTGGGATGGCGTAGTCATATAATAGTGAGTGCCAGTGTGAATCTTGGACAAAGTCTTCAAAAGTCAGCATGTAAAACTGTAACATGCTCGTTTATAAAAACGGAAAAACTGCATGCAATGCATTTCTAATCGAGAACTCCACGAATGTGCTCTGTGTAAAAAAAACAGTCAGAGGTTTACAAAACAGTCAAACTGGTACAGCCAGGATGCCGTGAGGAAGGCAAGGGCAAAAACAAAAATCAACCGCTGTCTTGTCTACACCAAAGAGTCAGAACCCAAAAATTGAATTGGATATATTAACATGACGCCGTTACAAAAAAATCAACAATACAAGGGGGACAGGTGTGAATGCCCGATGCAGAACTATACATCAACAAAAAAGGAGTTTGCAAAGAGCAAAAATGACAAATAAAACTAACAAATATGTGCGTTTTTCCAAGTCTTCGAGACAAGCAAATCAAATATTTTAGATAAGCGATTATTCGCATGTGTGGTATTGACATGTGCAGGCGAGTAGAACTGTGAAGATGAGGAGGGGATTCTTCAAAGAAATACAGTGACACCTATTCGGACGACCACTCCCTCAGCTAGTAGTAGAACTCCTGGCAATGGGAATTTCGTTTTTGTATGGTTTGCGGTCGTTTCATCACAGTGCCAGACCTCCTTCTTCGGGTTCTATCGACTGTTCAAAAGCTTCATAATGGTAGAGTGACACAGTCAACGATGGCGTCCTATGTCTTAGTCCAGAATGACCGCCGACATGCAAAGTACACTTTAATCGACCCACCTTTTTGTACGTACAGACATTTACACCTGATCAAAGAACATCGCGTCGGCGGTCGACCTAACAGCCTTTGACATTTCTGTCTATAAAGGTTAACGACATCAAAAGGCAGCCAGTGAAAGACACTCAGGGGGGATTTACAAAAAAACAATCTAAAATAGACGACAATTGATTTGATTTGAAAAGGGTAATACGTAAAACTCGGCATGAAAGACGTTGAAAATGATAGTTTGATTTAAATAGACTGAAATTCAAACAGTAAAGGCAAAATAGTCCTAGAAAATGATTACGGCATAAACGGCCGATAGTAAGTATTGCGGAGAATGGCAGCGTTTATGTCATTCCAACTGAAATTTTCATGCGTTTGATAAATAAACTTTCATATCGGTCCTGAATTTTCTACTCTTTGCGCTTCAGTTTCAAGTCAAACATGTGTTGTGATAACGAAATCTTTAGTATTATCTCCAGAGGAAGTAGCCATTTCAACCGAAAAGTTATTATCAGCTGAAGACGATTTCGGGCCGTGGCACGTCGCCCTTCGGAGATTACGCTACTGCACAATCCAACAAGTGGTCTGCATCTTACACGTGATTGCGCTGGTTCGTTTGCGTAGCTTCGATTTCGTCGTTGTTCTGGATGTCCGTCCTAATTGAAACCTCTCTCGGAACTATTGTTGTCGACCTTTACGTAGTTGAAAGGCCACGCTGTTCACTGAACTTTCTGAAACTCTGCAAGATCCATTATTTCAACGGCTGTCTGTTCCATAATGTTCAAAAAAATCTCGTTGCCCAGACTGGCGACCCATCTGGGACAGGCAAAGGAGGAAGTTCGATATTCGAAAAGCTTTATGGTGAACAGGCTCAGTATTTTGAACGCGAAACCAAACCAAAAATCCACCATAAAAAACGCGGGACCGTGGCTATGGTTAATAATGGTCACGGTCAGCACGGTTCGCAATTTTTCGTTACCCTAGCGGACAACTTGGATTATCTAAATCGTGTACATACTGTGTTTGGCGCCGTAAGTTGCTCGTTCTTGTTGACTTCTTGACGCTACTTTGAGTTATTCCCATCATTTTGACATCTTCCCTATAGGCGGCTGGCTTCCATTCCCCCCTATCACCCCCCTATACTAATTACCCCTTCGCGCCCTCCTCGCTTCCGCACCCCCATCGTTTCGAACTATTCAAAACTTCATTTTCAGGACAAAACTCCACAGAAGGCAAATTTTTTGTCGTTAACATTATTTTGGAATGGCTAACTGACCGCTTAACCAGTCATATGCGCTTTATTTCTGCTCCGAGGACTGTCCGTTGTCTACAAGTTGAACGCACTTATCAAAGTAGTAACGGGTCCATGTATTTGCTGCAGAAGTCCGAGTAGTGGGCAGATCGCAATTACTACGACCATCAGGCCTTGTTCAAAGCGGTAGCCGACAGTAGAAGGCAAGGTTTGTCCTTATTGAATGATTGAGGGATACGTAGTCGGCTGATTTTAGCATCCCGACGCGAGACGCTTGTCCGCGTCGGCCGTGAAGTCGATTTTCCAGTTTGAATGGTTATTATGAGTCCGACAATATAAAACCTATCATTGCCAGGCAACGGCTAGAAACGATGAAAGACATCATGTCAGACGAAACAAACGCCGTTGGCACGCCTGCCCAAGCACGTGAATCAATTCTCTCGTTTCCTATCCAATTTTCAACCAATGATTAAATATGTGGATTTTTGACACATAAATTGTGGGCCGTCCGTGTGTTGGCTTATTTTCATTTTTCCCAGCTGACGATAGTCTCGCAACATGCTGTGCGATTGGTCACGTATTCAATACTTTAGATTGTGAATGAATACATAATGCATTTGAATGAGAATTATGGCCACAGGGAAGGGTAGAGACATGCATCTGAATGACGTCAAGGAAGGGTACACTTCTCCGCGTTTGCCTGAAGTTAACAGCCTGTCAAACTTTAGACGTATGATTTGCACCGACAGCTAATCAAACCTGTCCAACTTTCAGCTGTCTTTGTGAGTAAGTCCTTGGTTCGTATTCCTCCTTGTGTTTTTCTGATTGCAGATTGCTGAGGGAGAGGAATGGCTCTCAAGGATTAACGAAGTCTACTGTGACAAGGAATCGCGTCCATATCGTAATGTTCGAATTCACCACACAGTTGTCTTGGATGACCCATTTCCTGACCCTGCTGGTTTGGAAATCCCTCCTAGCAGCCCCGAGTTCCTTCCTAGCTACGAGGTGGGTATGTTTTGCAGCAAGCTCCAACAGAGTCATTCTCGCTTTTTTTCTGACGGAACCCTTTGTAGTAACTTACTACTATTAATCTTACTTGTCCGCCCGTACAAACTTGCCTATCTGCAGCACTCAAGAGTCGTTTCTACTGACTCGAATGTACTCGGCCGTCTCACTTATCCTACGGTACAGAAGGAACTCTTTTCACTTCAGAAAGGCCAATTCCTGGGTAAGGAACAAAGAGACTGGTCGACTATTGAAGGTCTTAGCGTAGTTTTCTGAGCATTCGAACCCGTACAGGAGTCCACCGCAAGACATTGAAGCAGCAATAGGATAAGCGACAATTATAGGGAGGTATTAGCCAATTATCAACCAGTGTCCAAGCCAGGAGGAAACTGTACAGGACTCCGTATGCCGACGCCGGTGCAGTACGCGGATTTATTACGCTCTCACCCGAGGCCTAGGCTTCAATCAATATTCGGTTTGTCCTGCTTCCGGTATGAGTAGTTATACTGGTGATTACTAAGTTGAACTCGTGACCTTTTCTGAATATGTGGACGGCCACTTACGTCACCCTGACGCATGACCAGCCTATGCTCGCGTTTGCGCGACCCGAGCACGTGTTCAGTCTGATCTTTGTAATTAGAAGTACAGTTTTGACACGCGATGCGACATACTATCCCAGACTGCTCCCGGGAGTTTAGTCGATCCTTGATCTTCCAGCACCCGCTGCGCAGCAGTACTCCCTGTCGTCTCTGAACCATCCCTGATGTGTGACGGAGCATGTCATATCCTCAGAGGCATTTTTGTTAACGTTTGCCGAGGACGAACATGTAGACATCGGCCTATAAAGGCCTTCGGATAACTAGTCTGCATAAGTTGATCGCGGATATATTGGGCCTCGCGTGCTTTTTCCTCCGCCTCGCTGCGGTGATTCTGAACCCTTTTGATGGGTGTTCTCACAACTTTGCTTATGAGCCACCGAATGGCTTCTATGAAAAATGAGAGGTCACGTGGTGTCTGTTGCCCTCCTGTAAACTGCTATCTGAGGGACTTGGCCTGACGAGCGCATCAAATATGGGCAGCTCCTACTTTTAATTCCCTCGTGAATTGTACACTTGGGAGGATTTTTCTGAGCGAGCTGTGAAAATTTTACAGCGTTTTCTTTCCGACGAAAACACGTCGTCAACGTAACATCGCCAAAAGGCCCTCTCCTGCTGATTGGTAGCAGTTTTTTCGTCTTCTGTTGGGCCATTACTGCCACTTAACCGGAGACTGGGGGACCTGTTGATATCCAGTTGATCTGCTCATAGGTTTCTCCGACTATGGCGGGTAGGTTTTTGGCATGGTTAGGAAGACTTGCATGGCGTTTGATTTTTGCAGGCTCTGAGTCCCGTGTGCCTCTTAAAGTCTCTTGTTCAAGACTTCGTGCGCCAAATTTGGTTGGATGAGTATAAATGGCGACATCATGTCGAGACTACGATTTCATCCTGTTTAGCTATTAGACCTCGGATGTCTACGAGGAATTGGGAGGCTGACCGGACTAGGGTATTCGAATTACTTTCGAAGAACTTTGGTTTTGAGTACATCCACCTTGCCAGATCATGAATAAGGCCACTTCTTAGTGCAGCGATTGACCGCAATGGACCAGTTGGCCTATGGGATATTTTACAGACAATTTCCTGACACGGGTTTCTCTAGATTCTTACCGACCGATTCAATGTACCCATAGATTCGTTGAATATCTAATGCCTTGAGTACAACTTTTTACGTCGAGAGCATATCTTTCCCACGGAATCCTAACCGTGCATTTCGTGATCTAGACTCGATTGTCGACAGTGAGTTTTTTGTTGATGACTGCGGGCTGAATCAGAGACCGCGCAGAGGGACCTTAGATCCTTCTACTGTCTTCAACCAGACTCACTACCTTCGAATTATTTCGGTCCGTCCCGCTTGTTTTTGTACTCAGTCATACTAGACGTTGTATCTGCGCTTCAGTCGGCCCCAAAACCGGTGTAACCCATGCTCAATGATTAACGTCTTAACCTCCCGAAGTTGTCCGACTACCGATCCATCTCCGAACACCGAATACTATCGAGCCCAGCCTCCTGTCCATGTCAGACTTAATTACGCCCTTCCAATCTTTCGAATCGATCCTTCCGATGATGGCGCCAAATCTAACAGGGATTAAAAGCTATTTTGACGGAAATTAGTTCCTTCTCATGTCCACGTACCAAGTGTCCTAAGCGTCTGGTACAGCGTCATTGGGGAGGAGGGGGGTGCCGCCAACTGGCAGGGCAATAGACTTCTTGTTCCAGTGATCGCATCTTCTTCTAAAGTTCTGTTCGACAATTTTAAACTAGCCGAGGCTATAGTATTCTGCAGAGACACACATTGTTATATGCCTCAGACTTTTTGGGTGCTAACCTTGCATAGAGACCACCTCTTGCCTCGGTAGTGCTGTACGGCTCTAACCGTAGCCCCGGACCTAACGGCGAGGGCATTAGCACTTCCAGAGCCGACATAGCATGCCTTGGTGGCTTGTTTTGCCGTGGCATGAGCTCATCCATAGCATACAGGGACCGTCACAGGCAATAGGGTCAGCCGTATCGATCTCCGTAAGCCAGGCTGAAGAGTGCCGCATTGTGATGTGAAACCGTCGACTATTACTTCAGTTTCCACGGCGTTCAGTTTTAAGTCGGATTCTTGGTCGGAGACGATTATGCGACCAAAGGTGAATTGTGCATCGGTTAATTCCTCCAACACAGCGATATCATCGGACGTTTTGGAGGCAGTTGACTGTCTGCTGACCCTTCACTGGTCTGGTCACTGTTTTCTGCGACACTACGTCTTCGTCTTGAAGTGGTTATTCTAAAAACTCCTCCCGTTATTTTTGTGACCCAAAACAGGAGCTGGACGTTGGTCCCCCACGCCTGGAAGAAGACGAGGAACTCGGTGATACTGATACCAACTTAACTGCAGAGGAGATTGCAGAACGCGAGGCTGCCAAGGAGGCCAGAACCAACGCCCAGCTGTTAACCCTTCTGGGTGATCTCCCTGATGTGGACGCAAAACCACCTGAAAACGTGCTCTTTGTTTGCCGCCTGAATCCTGTCACAGAAGCCGCCGATCTAGAGGTCATTTTCAGCCGTTTTGGAGAAATCACGTCCTGTGAAGTGATTCGTGACCGTCGCACTGGTGCTTCCCTCCAGTACGCCTTCATCGAATTCGAGCGCAAGGAGGACTGTGAGGAGGCCTACTTCAAGATGGATAACGTTGTCATTGATGATCGCCGCATCCATGTTGACTTTAGCCAGTCCGTAGCTAAGGAATGGCGCCACTTCCGACGTCAGAAGCACGAAGATGCAGCAGCAGCGGCTGTCAAAGCCTCAGGGGCTCCTCAGCACCATCGACCTGGGCCACATGCTGGCATCGAGTCTTCCCAACAAAGACGACAACCACAGCGGGAGGAGAGACCGCGGTGGCGACAGTCGCATCGAGGACCGCCATCACCGCCCCCTGTAAGGCCTCCGCCACAGCCACCCATAAAGGGTGAGAGGAGGCAGCAAAGTGTTTCGCCATCACCACCAGTTGAGGAGATGGATGCCGCTAGTGAATCACGCGGTCTTGATTTTCTCATTTCCGACTCCAACAGTCGCAGCAGCGGTTCAGAAAGCTCGCCATTATCGAAAAGGCATCGAAAAAGTAGGTGTTACTCGTTTGTTGTGTTTTTTTTTTCTTATTTTATGCCCACGAGCAGTCCTCGTGAGTTGTACCTACTTCAATAGAAGTCGCATTCCTTGATTTTTTAGAAAAATTAACTAGCACCCTTTCGTTTTAAAGAGGACCGTCATTTTTCTTGTTCATAAGGTCCATAAGCTACGCGCATGAGTTTATCGCATAGCCCTGTATGCCTCCGTGGAAAGTCTTGTGCTGCTTGTGAACGACATCAACAAACCTGGGAATGTCTGGATGCATTAATGATCACGTGAGCATCTTGAAAAGTCTCATGGTGGTAAGCGTACAAAGGCCGGACAGTTCCTCCCCTCACGTATTGATTTTTAACGAGATATTTCCTGCGAGATGAATGTATGACAGAAGGTACGCCTTTGCTTGAGCGACCAGTCCTTCTCGTGTGGGTGAAAAGTGTTTGGTCGAACGCTAATGCGCCGCAGCGTGGAACTTGGCTTCGGTGTCTTTTATCCGCACGTCAGTTTTTAACCTAACCTAAGAGCTAAGCCCAAACGGCCTCTTCATGCGAGTCAACCTTATGTTTTTTTGGCTGATAGACCTCGGTCCAGATTCTAATTCTTCACTCTTTTTTAGAGAGGAAATCGAAACACTCAAAGCGGCACTCGAAATCTCGCAAAGAACACCGGAAAAAGTGACCTTTGTGCAGTCCTTTTGTGTATAAATTTTGAGTTTTTAACATCATTCTCGTCCTCACTCACCTAACTTTGTTCACAATTTCTATCTCTCATGGGCTCCGCAACAGTCGCCGTCGGCACTATTAGTTCTCCGACTTAGGCAGAGGCCACACCATGTCGGCCGTCGCACCTAGTCTCTTCTCCAGTAGGCTTAACTCGGACTTTGCACTGTGTGAAGAGTAAGGCCTCACTTTAATAAATATATGCGGGATAGTTGGATTCCCCTCCAACTGTATTGTGCCATTCCTGCTGTGGCGTTTTTATCAATACCCTCCAATAAGAGCCCCCACATCCGCTTTAGCTTGGTTGCTTTGCGTGCACGGCTTACTGCGTGTGCCTGTTGGGCCTTAAGGATTATGTGCCACTGCCATGATTCAGCAAATCATGGCTCTTGCAGCCTGGTGTGCGCTGGCAGTTCTCTGGTACCTGGCCCCTGAGGTAGATGTGCTGGCACTCCCGCTGGATATACAGTTCGTGATAACGGTTGCCCAGTCATCCTCCTCGTCTTTCTGACCCGTTGTGGTGCGGTTGTTGTTGGTTAAAATTCTGGTCAAGTGTTTGTTGTGAACAAGGGGATGTGGTGGTACGCCTAGGTGCGGGTGTGGCCGTGCCAGCCACGTGAGCCCTTTCTCGCCTCCGGTCTTCTTGACTCTGTCTTGACATCGGGTCCAGGTGAGGGAGGAGGGGAGAGTGCGGTAGATGCAGCGCAAGTTCACTCTCACTATAACCCAACTTACGCGAAAGTCACCGTGCCCGCTCCAGTCTCACTGTGGAGCACACGCTGGACATCGTCCGCCAACGACGATCAAATCGTCGTACGTATGCCTGTGTCAGCGATGTACGTCGTCTTGCCATTGGGACATAATTAGTGTGGCGAGAGAGAGATGCTCCGAAAGTGCCTTTTATGATAGAGCGACTCAAGAGTCACTGCGCCCCGGCAGTTGTGGTTTTCATCTCGCGGCGAAATTCCAAGGTTCTCTCATATTTAAAAGTGGGTTGGCTTTTGGCGGACAACACTACTCGCGGGCTAAAACATCGCCAATAGTGCGTGTTTTTCGCAAAGACTAGGGGCATCACTAACCCAGATGGTTAGTGCAGTAAACGCAGTCACCTAGTTGATACTAACGTCTGCATGGGCCTCGTGTAATTAGCAGTGCTGTGCGGGTCGTAGACGTCCGCGTGGATCCTTTATCCGGGTAACTTTTGTTATGGAGAGCTCGCGTAAAGTAGCTTGATCATGACGATTGATGGTTGTGCGCGGACATTCGCGCACGCGGTCATTGAATTCGATTTCTCGGTTTGCATAGAACCTGCCCTGGATCGGCTTTGCACAACTACTACATACCTGAACAATTTAACCATATTTGGTCCCGAACTTTAGGCCGAATGGTCTGGTGACGACGCCGATACCACCACTAACAAGTCACTTGACCAGAGCACAAACATCTGTCTTTGGAGAGCTGGCACCCGACACGGTCAGGACATAATTCGTCAATCGACTCTGGTCGTTGGCGGTATATGGGCAGTTCTGTGTTGCCTTAGAGTTCTACCAAAGCTGTCGCAGGCGATCACACAGTGACTATCGGGTGTCCGGCGAGGCCAGTGCTTGACTCGCATTAACCATCACAATGAGGGCGGCTTGGAACACTTCGACGATGCTGACGTTATGGGGAGCGGGGGGATGTGTTAAGTGGCGCGGGGAGCCCCGCGCTAGTGTCGGCCGGCACCCCTGTCAGCACGCACTCAAAAAGTGGGTTGGATTTGTTCAGCACCACAATCTACGCACTACTCAAGCTTTGCTACTGGGGTAGATAGGCAAGTTGGTGTTGGCCATTCGCTGAGATCGGATGCGTCCTTCGTGGCAGGTCGGCTGAACAGTTACTGGGGCACAAAACAACTGTGCGTTTAAGCTGCAGCCAGTTGGTAAACTGGTGGATACGAAGCAGACGACTGCGCGAAATGTTATCACAGACGTTATATTATACTCAACGCAAAAAGTGCCAAGGACGGATTGTTTGTTGCCTACTGCTCTCGTGTCCGACGAGAGCATCCATACACGTTTGACAGCTTAAACAAAAAATTGACTGGTTTACGGCCAACACAGTTGGGTGTTGCAGCACTACTGCAGCAAACCCTCTCCATTGGACTCGAAATAACTGTCTGAGAAGGCTAAACCCGTACTATGACCCCATCGTTCAAATTCACTGTCACCAACGAGAAGGTGACAAACACAATCCTTGGCGAAGTTGGGCGGACTGACGTGGTCTTTGTAGACGAGCAACTCCAAAGACAAAGATGGCAGATGGTTTTACTAATCATCATACCAGATACTCTGCAAAATTCCCATTGGGTAAATAGGGTTTCAGAGTGGTATTGACACTCTTAAGCACCTGTGTGCAGGTTGTCACTTTTTAGCCACTATTCCAAGCCCAGGCTGCATCAACGTCTCTGTTAGCCGAATCATCGTTATTCTGCTTCTAGCTTAGGTTTTCGATCAGACTAGTTCTACACGACGAGAAAGGAGGGCGAATGTTCTCCCTGGGTTAAGTGTAGTTCTATCAAACTGACCAGCTTTACAAGTAGCCGCGGAAGCAATATAGGTGCGTGAAATTGGGTCTCGTCCAGTCTCCCCAAGAGCGACTTAATTTCCCCCAACAGCAGGTATGCGCGTTGTCAGCTTTGGACGGAGACTTCACGCCACGTCAACCACTGTGCCCCAGCTCATCTTCAGTCGCCTTAACTCGAACGGACCACGGGCATGCAGCAGATTATAGAGAGTGAGGTTTGTCCAGATCAGATTCGGTCTCTAGTCTTGTTGCTAAAAACAACTACTAAGACGCACTAGGAGTCTTCTTCAGAACTAAGGATCAGGTTGTGATGACTTCTTCACATAATCTTGGTGTCACTCCCAATTACGCAATACCTGAGAACTCCTCGTTGGAGGCAGGTTAATGCGGAGTTCGGGGTCAGCAGGCGTGGCCCCAGTCATGGGCCAGCCACTACGGCCACGCTTATTTCCTGGCGTCTTGACCTTGTCTTCCCATTGAAACACGATGACTGGGAGAAGTGAGTAAGCCAGGCACATGATGCACATACCTGTCTCACCATTAATAAATTCATGCACAAGTCAACACTGCGTCCTTTCGGGGACAGCGGTGGTTTTTGTCACATGCGGTAAACTTGCTACCATGTAGTCGACAAAGTAAAACGACACCGGTCACCCGAGATCTGAGAAAATAAGAATACTGATGAAGTCCAATTAAGCCTATGGTAAGATTATCTTCCCCAGCATTCCTGTGACTTTCCTCCGCGATCCGAACATTATACTTGTATTTATTTAGCAGGCTGAAGACGTGCAACCAGTAATTTGCAGGTAGATGACACCTACCGTCTCACCTAGCTGCGAACTTCCCCACGCATCCAGTGTTCCGCACAGTTCTGACTGCTCCGAACTCACGCATGGACAAGGCTGGCTCATCCTGATGACGCTGAAGACATCGTCCCGGTTGCACTATGCTTTTATAGCCCAAACAGGCCTGGGAAGAGCGATGTCGATCAACCAACCGGACTACTTGTTAAGCTGACTGATCGGAAGGCACTCCCCTGGCTAATGGTCTACAGCATAGGAAACGTAATTTTTAATGTCAGTAGATAGACTTTCTGCAAGTGTAGAATGAGGACAGGATCATCCTGGGACCGACTATGACCGCAGGTCTTCGGATGTTATTACTGACCTATTATGATATTTAGTCACCCGTAAGATCCTCGCGCATTAAGTTCCAGTGCGGTCGAGCCCCCCGTCCGGTTGCAAATGCTCAGACCTATGCGAAGGCGAAGGTTGTGGATTTTCGAGCATTGTTTCCTGCGAACCACCCCCCTCCCACCCCCAGGGGTGTCCCGACTTCGTGCACGATGAGACGGTTCCGAGTCGCTGCGACACTCGAGGCGTTCAAAAAGGCCACTGTGGTAGTTTGGGTGTGTTCTTCGCTAGGCATCTTGGAAGGCCAGTGCCGTCATTCTAAATATGGCGTACGAGTGTCGAGAAAGACAAGGAAGGCTCAGATGGTCATTCCCAACTTGTTTGCCATCGTCAGCCAGTCTTATAAAACCCCGGGGTGGTGAGAGCTAATCTCCGAACCCGCGTTTTTTTTCATCAAGCGTTATAAAACCCAAAGGTCTACCGCTGAGCCACAGGCCCGTTGTCCTGTCAGTCGTGATCGAGAATACTAGCCACGTTGGGAGTGCGTTCACCGACCGGCTTACGGGATACGCTCGTCCCACCATGCCTTAGGGCTTAATGTGCAATTTTCATAGGCAGTCGTAAAGCAACTTGTAGTACGCGTCGAAGGAGGGTGACAAGAAAGACAAGGGGAGCTGGAGTGGCCATTTCTTATTCATTAGCCGTCGACCAACCCTACCCAACCCCAGGTTAATGAGACCTAAGCCTCGAACTCGCGTTTTTCTGGTTATTAGGTATTAGCAAGTCCAACACCCAAATCAGTTAGCCACGGGCTCGTCCTATCGGTTGTCATCGGTGACGTTATGATGGAGGTACGTCCACCGATCGGGTCACCGGAGCCCTGGACGCAGCGTGGCGTCCCATAGCCCGACTGGTTGACGTAATTCCTGCGTAAGTAGCACTTCCCACCGCAGACGCTGATGGTTAGAACTTATTAACGCCTAATAACTAGAAGAACGCGGGTTCGAGGATCACGTCCCACTAACTTGGGCTTCGGTAAGGCTGACCAACGACGGCTGAGCCCGTAATGCCTACCAGTTTCCCTCGTCCTCGTTGCCGCTCTCTGTTGCCAGTCGCTTTGCGACTGCTTGCGGTGACTGCGCATTGGGTCCTGAGACAAAACGGGACGGATAATACTGCCAAGCGCGACCAACGGGGCAAAAGTCCCGCGGATAAACGGTAGGACCTCAGACTCAACGCCCGATGACAGCGCCCCCGTGGCTCGACATGGTCCGCAAGAAATTGCGGTATTCTGGACCGGCGGTATTCGCTCTCTGGTCCTGAAAACAGCATCAAGATATTCGCGCCCACTACCTTTGGTCGTAGCGTGACACCCCCGGAGCCGTCTGGCTTGGGTATGAACAACCATAACACCGCAGCAGGGAAGCGCGCACCGTAACCGCAAGGACCGATGGAAAGTCACTGGACACCTAGGACTACGACAATTGCCCCGACCGACTGCTTCCTGCTGCCCTACGGGAGCGACTCAGGACCAAATTGTGCCAGATGTCTACTTTTCCATTGTTCGCAAGTTTTACGTGGGGACACGACAATAAAGATACTAACGTGTTAACACCTAAAAACAGGAACTACTCTAGCAGCTACTTTCAAGATACAGTTAGACTTGTAACTCGTCTGAACGACGTGTTCTATTGAAAGCCGATTGGTAAATCTGCGCGCATGGCGCTGACCCAAGGTATGCTGCAGCCCATTGCACAAGCAACTTTGGGACAGCCTAAGGCCATTCAACATATAGTTCCCACGACAACCGTACACATGTCAGATGCACAAAAGCCCGACATGCGAGGGAGTGTTAACTAACTGAGACCGAAGTTAAATGGGGAGAACAAAGGAAGTCTAGCTGATAAATCATTAGTATTGACAATTGCGATGTACACGAGTTTTTAAAAAAAAATAAATGCAACGTATTTACAAGGATAAATTAGAATAACAAAAATCATGGTGGGTCGAGTTCAGTGGAATGCGCGTTCGCTTGCTGCCTATACCTCGATCGATCAGGCGGCCAGTTGTACCTCCGCTGACCAGAATACGAGAAATTCCCACTGCTTTGGTAATTATGCTGATACCTGTGCGGCGGACGGTAGGAACTGCTACCCACTCGTGCAAAAGAAGTCCCGAAAGTGTCCATATTCAGGCGCATGTCATCGCGGTGAGACCGCCGCTGTCTATTGCTACATCCTCTTAGAGTACAAAGCGTACACTTACCCTTGAGCCTTATCCATTAGTTCGGAACTGATAGTGTCGAAAAAGGACTTCTTACTGTCGTAGCAAACCTTTTCTTCCGCCTCAGCTTCTTCCGAGGGCCCGGACGTGGACCCATTTGCATTTCCCTAAAGAAGCTGGTAAGGATGGGATAGTTGTAAGTTACCGAGGATATCTCGATTTTTTCCAGCTCCTCTGCGAGCTCCGCGTTCGCCTTCTCGATGTCATACTCCCCTTCAAACTCCTTCGCCAGGGAATCGCGTACACCTTCATCCCATGGCCTGTAGCGTTGACGCCCGCCACTGCGGGGTTGGCCTGCCGGACGACCACCCCCGCGTCGAAAACGGTTATCACGCCTTGCGTCTTCGTGGCCATCGTATTGTGGTTTGGTAAGGTCCCTGGAGTAGTTAGACCGATTCCCGCGAGGCGGCCCAGGTTCGCGTCCTCTTTGTCCGCCTCTTCTTTCTGGACGACCAACCGAAGTATACTCAGGGTACTGTAGACCTTTGGTAGGGTCTGAATCTATGTCTTTTGACGCAGGTTCACGTGCAACAGAAGAGTTCCGATCGCTCTCGGCGACCTGTCGACTTAGAGGCCATGGGCTTGGTGTTATATCGGGTAGAAGGTCAGATGGGGGTTTTGGCGACATAAGGAGAGGGAACGTGGAGGTGGGATGGGTTTCCACAGTGGTACATCTTGGAACTAACGGTGGTATCTCAGGCTTCTTCACATCTCCGAAGGGGGTGACTGACCAGGGGTCTAAATTGGAAGGAACTTAGAAAGCTTTGGGCGAAACATAAACTACGCTGCTCCGGCACATTTCAGAATTAAAACGGCATCAAGAAATCAGTGCACGTTTACTTCATCACATAAAACAAGGGCATGGGAGAAAATACGCACCCAGAGCATCGCTTTCCTCTCGAGGTTTCGTCGTCGAAAACGTGCTGGACTAAAGCAAGTTCCATGAAAGAAATGAGAAACAAACCCCTGGAACCGCACTGACTATTGAAGGATCTTCATTTAAAAACACGGAAGACTGCAGAACGCGAACATCCTCCAGGTCTCGTCCGCGGAAGACTATTTGTTCATAAACTTCATTCCTGGGGCCAACAAAACGTTCGCTAGGGCGGTCCTCAGTGCCGAAAGACCAGACTAAAGAAAGGGTGACAACGTGGATGAACAAACCTTTCGAGAGTGTTATTACTGGATCGTCAGGGGCGTCAGTGTCAATGGAGTGCAGGAAGCCTTCATATCGAATCTTCGCTTTTGAGATTATTCGTATCCGACAGCCAACAAATGGTGATTCTTGAGAGGACATTTATCTCATATGCTTGGCAAAATGACCGGGAAACAACGGACAAGCACCCACAAACTAACTGGGAGACCGGAGCATTACGCAAAGACCAAGAGTGAAACTCACCAACGCAAGCGCCGAACCGACTAAACAAATTGCAAATAGATAACAGTTCCAGGAAGGCTCTAGGTAGTCCGGTAATCCGCTGGCGTTTGAATACTTTTCTGCTGTTGCGTGAGAATCTGATCCCGTGTGAAAACCCAAACTTTGCATCTGAGAGTTCAGCAACAACTTAGGCGAAATTAGAGTAGAGACCACCCACCACGCCAGATAACGGACTTGAGATGGAAAGTGTAGTCTATACGATTGCTTTATTGTATCTGATACCTCCAGACTTCTAGGAAGAGGGGGAGAATATTGCAAATATACAAGTCCACTTTCAAGTTCGCGAACACTGTACTCGTAAAACATATTTATTTAAGGATTTCTGAGGATATAAGAAAGAATTTGAACATCAAAGCGCTTGCCGGACAACGTAACATTTAAAAGGTAAGGAGCGGGGATCGAGCAGAACAAAGTGCGACTTCTTACAACAAAGGCTGGATACGAAAAAAAGAAAACTGTCGTAGCAGGCAAGGCAGGCGTGTCAAAGGATTATCGGGAACAAAATTTTGCAAAAGGACGCAAAGAAAATATCCCATACACATAAATTATCATGATAATATAACCGACTCCTAAAGCGGGTCATGGGAGTTCTCACAAGTCAAAACCTACGAAAGAAGTATCGAAATACGCTATATCATGCATAAGGTTGCTCGCAGAATGCTGTATGATGTGGTCACGCCATACTTAATTACTAGCTGAAGACCCAAGTGTGTGCTTTCGGCTCATGTCAGTTTATTAAGGAACACTGACGCGGCTTCTTAAGTACCCTATTTTCAACGTAAAATTAGGTGCCGTGTACAGAGAAGTTGGTCGTGGCAGCAAGTTAGAAACTGTCCTTAAAGGATAGGATGAAGACCAATCCCTTCACAATGCGAAATGCTTGCAGTAGACCGCCGCGCAGTTGCCTATAACTCGAGGTAAAGAGGTTCACCTTTGTTAGACGGATTGCATAATGAGAGGGCCTATGGCCCCTAAGCATTTTCTCGGCTCTCCTTTGAACTCTCTACAGCCGATTTTGATCTTGACCCACACATGGCCTCCAGGCTTGCATGCCGTGTTCCAAGTGAGGCCACACGAATGTTCTAAAAATCTTACATAAGGCGGATTCGTCAAAACCCATAAATCCTCGCTTGATTACGTACAACACGAACCATTAAAACAAAAAGGGTCCTACTCCTCAATATCTACCCATTACAACTGCACCCCATTTGGCTGATAACATGTTCCCAGGGCCTGAAGGCAGTGGTCGGTCAGGGGAAACTCCCACTTCGTTACCGAGTAGGGCGACTAGGTGAAAAGAAGGATGGATCGGCTGTCAGAGGACGCTAGGGAAAGGCTGCCGTGGAAGGGTTTAGTTTTTCTAAATGCACGGTAAAGGTGGGATTGGCGTGTGATAACGTTTTGGGTGATGTATGTAAATAGTTGGTTAGATGACACCCGTTACTACAAAGGGTCCTTCCCAAGGGTGGAAGAATTTGGCTAAGATCCCCACGGGCGGAATCGCTCGGTAGCGCAGTAAAAGGTCGCTGATTTGGTTGGAAGTCCGTGTACGTTTCAGCCAAAATATATCTTCTATCACTCGTAGGCGATACGTAATTGCGTGCGGGGAAGACTGTGAATGAGTCGTGACAATTCCCTGGGCTCTAACACGTAGCTATCAGCGTTGCAGACCGTCGTGGGTTGCATAGCAAAACGTGCGTCTACAGGTATTCGGAAGCGGCAGTCGATCAACATAAAGAATGGGAATGGCCGATTGAGAAATGGATGACGACCCTGTAGACCATAATGGGGAATGGCAAATGTACGTCCCAATCACCTGAGTGGTGGTCCTCGGTGAACGCCTCCACAATATTGATTATGGAGCGGTTGGTGCGTTTGAGTTGCCCATCGCCCTCTGGATGTGTCGGGGTTGCCTGGATCTTGTAGATAAGGAGGAGGTCGCAGACCTTGCGTAGACGATAGATGTCAAAATTGACTCCGCAGTCAGAGTATAGCGAAATGGGGGCGCCATACCGGTAGATCCATTCATTCGACAGCGCGATGATGACGGAAGCTGCATTCTGTTCTTGTGAGGGAACGACCTCGGTCCACCTCGTAAAGGAGTCTACCAACACTAAGTCGTATGGGTAGCTGGACGAGGTGTGTGGTAATTGTCCGACGATGTCGACGCCAACACGTTCAGATGGAAAGCACGTGGTCATGAGCTGTAAGAGCGCTCTATGTCGCAGAACGGTAATTTCGAAGTAAGCGCAGGTGGGACACGTATTACAGAATGTAGCGACTTTCCCTCAGAGGTGGGGTCACCACAAAAGAAGATTAACCGCCGCTTCCGTTTTTGTCAGTCCCACGTGTCCTACTTCATGGTGGAGGTCCGTGGGGGCAGGGATAATCACGCTGCTCGGGAGGAACAGACGCGGGTGGCTAAATGTCGCGTTTATTAAAAGTAGCAGCTTATTCTTAATGAGTAAATCAGCTCACTGGTTGCGAAAGAGACGGGCTATGTCCGAAAGGCCACGGAGTTCGGCGTACATTGATCTATGCTGTCCTTGTATTTTGTGGTAACATATTATTGCTGTATCTGGGTCGGTGCTTTGGACAGTCGCCCAATGATAGCGAGCGGGTTCGCTGATTGTGACAGCAGCTATGCGATTACCTACCTCGTCAGTGTCCATTGTCAGTGTCGGCGTTGGCATGCTTGTGTCCAGGTCGACATTGGCGGGTTAAGTCGAATTCTTATAGTAACTGTGTCATCGTTCTATTTGAACTTCGGCTTCGCTCATATTCTATAGCTACTGTAAGGCCTTGTGGTCGGTGCGAATAATGAAACGTCCGTAACAGGGAATGGTTTAAACTGTCTTACGAGCGTGGTAAGTGCTAACAGCTCCCGACGGTAGGTACAATAGTTGTGTTCAAGTTTGGATAGTGATTTGCTCGCAAGGCAAATTGGCCGCTCGGCGCCTGTTTCATGGGCTTGTGGAACCCCGCCCTGAATCACAAACCCACTAGATTTACAATCCAGGATGAAGTGCGGGGCGTCAGATCACGTGTTCGTAATCATCATTAAGGGTTGCGTGAAAAGTTCGGCACTTAGCTCGCCGAAAACGAGCTGGTAATTGTCAGACTATACGAACGGGCTTTCTTTCTTCGTCAGACGGTGTAGGGTACGTGATCCCCCGCGAAATGGAGGATGAAACGGTGGTAATAGGAGGCCAGGCCGAGGGAGTCACCGACTTCCGTGGTGCCTTAAACGTAGGCCATGGTATAACAAATTTTTCTTTCTTCTTTGATACATGCATACCTTGTTGGCTGATTTCTTGATCGAGAGGAAGGGGACCAGATTATTCACACGCCTTAACTGGAAAGAGAAAAACAAAACAGACTGGCGCCAAACACTCCTAAAACCCAATTCGACCGATACCAACCATCAATACAAAAGGATCATACTTATTTATACCAGCCAGCCTCCCTGCCGAAAGGAGTGCTATTTGCACTTCAGATTACCGCAAGCAGTGGATGGGGGAGACTTTAATTTGTCATGCGCAGGGACATGCCTGTCTTTTCTTTAATGGGTGGTTTGGGCGATGGGCTGCCTACGACGGATGCGGATAAAATCCAACAGATCGCGCAACCTAAAAAACCAAAAAGTGAGCGAGCAAATGCGATGTCGTTAGTTCAAACAAACAAATGCAAGGCACAGCACGATAAAAAACAAAGAAATATGATGATCATGATGAAAATGCGATAGCAAATTGCATGTCACTAATGGCATTTCTAACTGAGTATCGTCAATATTAACCGTTTGTCGTACAGTTCACCGGTCAAGCAGGTCAAATTTCAGGCACACCCTTACTTTCATATCTAACCGGTTGACGTTTCCGGACGATCCACTGACCTCCAAAAGTCACGAAAAATCCAAAGTTTGCGCGACCTGCCCAGAATTTCCAAAACCGACAACCATATTCTAACTTACCTTCTGATACTCCCTCAGCCCAAAAATCGGCTTTTCGTAGCTGTTGTATATGCTGCTTTCGCACCGGGCGCCCAGAACCTGCCCACAACTTCACTGTTTGTTTTAGCACTACAGCGTACGTGTTGCGGTCTAGTAGCGAAGCTAACTTTTTTGAGAACGATGTTTTAAGCTGCAAAAGTCCAGAAAGTCATTCTCTTTGAAAATGCTTGCTGTTTCGATGTTTTCGGTCGGTAAAATGCATAGATGTGGTCCGCTTTAAGAACGCTGCGTAATTCTGTCACTCCTCCTGTGAACCACATTCAAAACATGGGGGTACATCTTGCCTTGTCATAGATTTGTTGAAGGACCGCGTGGTTTGAATTTTGAGGGGCAGGAATGAACTTTCATTCCAGTCCCCACTGGAAACAGTTGGTCCGCATTAGAAACTGAATTACAAAACGCATTATTGCCTACTACTCATCACCTAACTGTCATCGCCACCCTCATCGTATGACTAGGATGACTTTCTGCAAACCTGAAGATTCTGCTGGCAATTTGAGCCTATCCAACCCAGCCTATTGTCTCGAACTGTTCGCCGTACCTTTGGAACAAGATCTACTAAAGGTTGACTCGATAATTACTACATTGCTTGTCGAACTGCTTAGATTCGTACACGGCATATTACCAAAATGTCTTAGCCAAAACGTCCTCCAGGCCTTGCATTCTCGAAATTCTCCGACAAACCCAACCACCCGTACAATCCTCCCTATTTAGCCCTAGGCGGAGTTTTTTCTTTTATTCTCCCGACTTGCTCCTTTTCCATAGCTTCAAGGTATGACTGAAGTACGTACTGACGTCCAAAATAGGGAGCCGGAGTATGGGGTTGATCAAGCAATCACCCATTACCCAGTCAACTGCGCAAATCCCCGGGCGCCGCAGCCTGCCGGCGAGCGATGTCACAGAGTCTCCTTGACTGTATAGACACAGAAAATGCAGGCCAAAGTTGTAGTGGATGCCGGATTCTGGCCGTCAATGTCAATTATCTTGAGGAAGAAATCACAAGGACGAAAGCTTAGTTGCAATGCAATCTCGACCAAGCTTACGTTACCAATATGACTACTGGACTAGTAACCAGAAGTAGGGTAAAAGCTCCCAGCATAATAGACACGCCAGCACATATTACGGCAGCCCTATAACGAACAGCTAGAAGGCGAGATAATACCGGTCAGAAAGGAAGCCCAAAAACCGAAGATAAAAAGATATCCAACCTTGAAAAAACCAAGGAAAACGGACGGCTACTTCCGGAAGATGCCTTCGAAGAACCCGAAACGGAAGCATTGACGGACGTCCCGTCCATCATGGAAAATGTTGTGTGTCCAAACACCTTTGGTGATTCTCCGAAACTGTCCGAGCTTGATAGACTTAGCCCGAACGGCGGAATCGATTAATCCATCAGAGTTCCAGAGTTCTATTCACAGTTTTCTCTGCCAATCACTTCTTTCAAGGTTGTCAAAATAGGTGCCAAACAAACAGACGGCGTAAGCGCATCTCCTCCACCATCACCAGCACATAATCCCAGAGCGTATCGTCGTTTAGGGAACCACACTTCCATGGAAAAAATAAGTCGACAGAGAACAATGTCTCAGTATTCAGGGGCTTCTTGAATCAAGTGCAGGTATTCCCAAGGAGCGGGTTTCGGAAGACCTATCACTCCTCCAAGGTCTTCTCAATAACTTTTTGGAACCCATTGAGGCTATTGAAGTGACTAAGCCTTCCGTCTTGGAAAACGAACAGATAAGCCATCAGTGTCGACTCGTCCCCGGCCTCTTAAAGTTGTGCTGGCCGGCAGCGACCAAGCCAGTCTCATTCTCTCCAGGTGATTTAGGATTAAAGGCTCCAACTCAGGTGTTTTTTTAACTGGACTACTCTCCAACGAAACGGCTGAAACGTTGTCAAATAGTTCTAGAACTTAGAAATAGGCTCAGCGGGGGAGAAGACAATTTAGATATATGCGAGAACCAAGTACGGCGACGTCCGTCACTCTTCCTTTGAACACGTCTGGTCCGAATGACCGCTCATCCGACATATTAATTGAAGGCGCTAACCAAAATGTAACCACATCTTCCGTCAGCCGGAAAAGGAAATTCTTGCACACCAACATGCGGAGTTTGCTATCAAAGTTCGACGAGCGGAAGATCCACCTCTGTGATCTATCGCCTGACGTAATCTCTTTAACATAAACCTGGTTGACCCAACACGTGGACGACCGTGAGTTGACCTTGCCTGGCTGCCAAATGTTTAGAAGGGATAGGAAAGGACGTCAAGGAGGAGGGTTACTCACGTGTGTGAAAAACGGGGTAAATGTATCGGGGAAGACCGATAAATCTTCGTGTACCTCCTAGGCAATCTGGCCGCCTATTAAAGTGCTGAGCTCGCCTAACCTCGGTGTCCTGACAGTTTGTCGACCGCCGAGACGGGAAAACATAGCTGACGCTTGCTTGCTGGAGGAGCTCGAACATTTCGCTACTCGGCCGGATATCTTGATCATGGGCGAATTTAACGCGCCTCATATTGCCTGCAGCTCAACCCACGTAAATAGCACAGAACAGACCCTCGAGGGGAGTTTTCTGAACAAGGCACTGAAGTCATTTCTCACTCAACGCGGCACGTTTCCAACTAGAGTACGTGAAGGCCAACAAGTCATCGGCCTTGATCTTGTCCTTACGAAATCACAGGACAGCACTGATGAGGTGTCATGCCTATCCCCCTTAGGTAAAAGTGACCACGTCGTTCTTCTATGGGATTACTCGCTTCTTTCCATGCCCGAGAAACCCATGACAGTTGGAAGAAACCTTTGGTGCGAAGATTTCGACCAAATGAGGGCTGAAATTTCACGCATTGAGTAGGAGTCCGTATTTGTTGGAAGCATACGCGAAGAGGGGCAACAGTTCCGAGAAATGCTGCACAGGCTGATCGCAAATCACTGTCCACTTTCACGGAAAAGGTTAACTAACAGACCTCGATGGCTTTCACAAGCCTTGAAGGATGAACTGAATAAAAAGTGAAGGCTGGGGAAAAATCGCTTTCTGACAGGAGCCCCACGTCTATATGTGCGTACAAAGTTCAAAGAAATCGAGTCAAGGACCTTGTCCTCAAAACTAAAAGAGAATTCGAATGGGATCTGCTTAACCGTGCCGTGGAGAATCCTAAATTATTCTACACTTACACAGGGCAATGCACGCGGAACAAGGA